TGGTGTCAAATGAACTGAAATTTCCATGTAGCAATTTGTGCATTCGCTTCTAAGCATTCTATGAATTCGAAATTAATTTAGAAAATGGAAGTGCAATTAAGTGAAGCGGAAAAGGTATTTATAATACATGGGGCACAGGAAGGCTTACGAGCTGATGGACGCAGGTATGTTATAGTTTAGTTGATTTCAAATTTATTTATGGTTTTTCACTGAGATTTTGCGTAACCTTTCTGTTTTTTTTTTCAAATATCCTTTATCTGAGAAGAAACCAATGAGTTATTTATATCTTCGTTGATATTGTCTTTAGTGTAAAGAAGAACTAAAACTTATATCTTACTATAATTCTGAGTCAGCTTCCACTCCAACTTTTTGGATAAAAAACTTAGCGGTCCATGACGATTCAGTAAAAAACAATTTTTCTTTTATCGTAGTATTTTGCAGTCAGCGCTGTTTTTATTGTAGCCCGTATGATTATCGACCTGTAATTGTTCAAACCGGTGTGTTGGCAACAACAAATGGTTCAGCTCGTGTCCGAATAGGTTCAACTGATTTATTAATTGGTGTTAAGGCGGAACTAATCAATGTGGAAAACATTGCTCTTCACCGGAATCGGCTAAATTTCTTTGTTGATTGCTCAGCAAATGCCACTCCTCTCTTTGCTGGTATGTAAAAGAAGTAACTTTCATTATCTTTTATCAGTTTTGCACATTAAGAGAGATGGAACTATATTTTTGTTATAGTACAAATATAGCCGAATGCAGCTGGAATAGGAAATTATTGAAATAACGGGACAACCTGTACTGATGAATATATTGTTTTTTTCTAGGTACCTTCAGCTATATCTTCCATAATGTTTAGTTGTACACACATTATAATATATCAAGCTAGCGCTATATTTAAACACAGTGACAGTTCAGATTAATAATATTACGTGACAGTCAACAGATAAAAGCAATTTGCAAGGGTAACTTGAGTTTGGGTTCGAAGTTTTTTATATTCTAGATTTTAAGATGATTTTTTATAATCCAGAGATTTTGGAGCAACAAATTCTTATTTTCATTTTTGCTATTACGAAATTAAAGGCTGGTGAAGTATATCAATTTTGGTATCAGGTGCTACATCTGCGGTCTCCAGCGATCAATCTTTTCAAAATGATTGGTTGGTGAAACTTACTATAATTTCAGGTCGTGGTGGTGAAGAATTCGCAGGTGAATTGAGTGCTGCACTGGATGCTGCTTATGATAACAATTATGTGCTTCCAGATTTGAAAAAGTACTTATAATAATATGAATGATGGCTGAAGGTCAAATATTAGAATTTTTCCACACAGTCTTAGCATTGATCTATTTTCTTAGGTTGATTCTGTCTCCGATGCATGCGTGGAAATTGTATGTGGATATCGTTCTTTTGCAGTGTGACGGTAATGTTATCGATGCAGCAGCTTTAGGGGTTGGTTTCTGCAGAATGATTTTATGAATTCAAATAAGATACTGACGAGATTAATAATAACTGGAAGCTGGGATTTTGAAAGACCATTTTTATTTTTGTTCAGTTTTTTCTAAACGTATATTAATAGTTTCAGGTTAAGGCAGCACTGAAAGATACGGAAATTAGCCAAGTTATAGTCAGACCAGCTGATGAGGGAAAGTATACAATTGATTTGCCGGATGATAATACCATTTGGAAATTAGATGTATCAAGGTATACACAATGTAATGTCTTTTTTTCTCAAATTTGTTTAAGTGAAAACGAGTTTTTCTATCTCAGTAAGTTATGAAACTATCACCATATTTGTTTTAAATGAGTTTCCTTCGATGATACTTTAATTAGGCTAATTTTTTTTCTCACGACAACATTTCTAAATTCAGATCGAAAAGAATGGGATTTGGTAGAATGACTCTGTTTTACCTTCTTCCTCTTTCCAATCTCTCTTTGCCATCAGAATAGAATCTTACTGGTATGATATTCCTAAATAATATTTTTAGTTACACTGTTTCTCATTCAAATCCTGATTTTTAGAGCCTTATTATTTGTTGCAGAGTTCCTTTGTTTGTCAGTGTAAATAGGCTTGGAAGTGCTAAAATTGTTGATAATTCATTGGCAGAAGAAGCATGCACTCGTGCATCCGTCTGGATTGCTGCTGCTCCACAATTTGTTTCCAGCATCGATCACAGTGTATAATTAAATTTCAAATTTTTTTTGTGTACAAAATAATCAGATTTGTTCGGATCTTTTAAATGATATCTTTAATGTATCTAAATAGGAAATTGCAGCAAATTTGGTAGTATCGGAACTATCTGTATAAGCTAGTTTCCTTCAGTGTCTTTCGTTTACAGAAAGAAACGTGAAGAAGCTACAGGTGAGAGAGCATGTGAAAAGGTTGAGTTTTTTAGGGAAATAATCAATATGTGGTAAAGCGTGATGGTTGCATAATTACATTTATGAAGCAATGTGGTGGTGGTACTCTTGAAATGGATTCACTTGGTTAGCGCTTTTGTTCTCTTCTTTTTTTCCTTTTAACATATTCTCTGCATGAAAAAGTGATTGCAGCACTCTTTTAAAGCTATTTTATGTAAGTATATATGTTTTTTCTCTGTGCGATAATTCTTTTAAAATCTCTTCAAGTGCTATCATAAAATTAAGGACACTCCAACATATGTCTACAATATATTCATTTTTAATTTACGAAGTTTTTGAAATTCAATTACCGTAGTTGATTAATTTATCTTGAACTTAACTTTAATTTCAATTTTCAAAGGGTAAATATAGTTAATAACTTCCATGCGCTTACACTTTGTACAGTTTTAGAAGAAATGATCAGTATTGGCTTAAAAACTGTGCGGCAACTACATGAAGCACTTGATCGGAGATTAATAGACGAAAATTGGATGGCAGAAAAACCTTTGTCAACATTCTTACAATGAGTAAAATATTTGCTTTTGATGCGTGCATATATTTTAATACAGTAATGTGATTTCAGAATTTGCAAAATTTTGCAATATTTTTGCTATTGTTAAATTGCGATATCAACTTTTTCTCGATCACATCAAAAAGTGTTTTGCAGATTATATGTAGTTTTTGGCAGTTGAATATTAAGAATGTCAAGACAAATAGAATTCATTCTGTAAATCCCACATGAACAAGACTTTATTTTGTTATCATTAGTGGACCTCTTTAAAATTTTGATAGTTTCTAGTCAGACATATCGTTTTCAGATAAATTTATCCATTCCCGCTCTATGTGTTTTGATCTAATAATATCACTAAAACTTCAAATACATGTACTTTTTTCGGTACAGCAAAATTTGGGGAATGATCCATCCTTTGTTTTTGAAAACGATGCTAACTTTTGAAGAATTGTTTTTTTAGATTAGACTTAAAATGATTATATGAATCATTGGTTGTTGTCAGCCGGTACACGGCACCAGTATGATTTTGAAATTTTCGAGATTATGCCTCTGTGTCTTAACATTTATCTTTCATATACCTGTATGAAATGTTTTATTTGAAAATCTATATAAGATTTTCTAGGTTTTTATCAAGTTTTCTATATTTCGCAATGCTTAATTTTGCTTTATGTTTATTGAAAAAAAGAAAAAAATTATAAATAAATACTATATTTATCTTCTTACTTTTGCACTTTTAAAGATTATTGGACGTTGGATCACTCTTTACTGAAGTTTCTTTCGCAGTTTCCACGACACAGAGAAGAGCTTTTGAAGCAAACATGTCGCAATGATCCAGTATATGCCTTTGCACAACTTTGGGTATAGTGTTTCGATGATCGAATATCTTAAATATTAGCAGTTTCTTTTCATCATTTTTAATCTGGTCGATCTTTTGCTAATTCCGTCCCTCATTCCCCCTCATTTTATGATATCCCTTCGCCCTCAGCAAGTTGACACTTATCATACTGATCATCAGTCATTTGGATATTGGTCCTTATTCCTCCTCTATTCTTCCTTTGTTTGATATTGAAAAATTTTAACTTTAAGACAGAAGAGGACCTATAATTTAACTGTCTCGATATCCTTGCGACGAGTTTTACGGAAATTTTTTGCTTTAATTCCTACTTAATAAAATATCTAAATTAAAACGCTTCGAATGTTTTCCAATGTTTGATATAGTTGTATTGATCTGTCAGTTTTAACAACCTCTCTGCTACATTCTCCTGCCTACTATTTCTTCCAGAGATGCGATCAGTTCTTCCTTTTTTAAAATCCTTACTTTAGATTATTTACATAACTTGCAAGACTTACTTGTAGTTTGCGCAGAATCTCGTCAATAACTGGCGGATCCCACTTAACCTTATCGATGAATCGTATCTTTGGATCGACTTTCCATTTCTTGCAAATGTACTGTCGCTGATCAGTTTTCCTAATTTTTTCCATGGATGATTTTCTTATCCCTTTTTCAATTTCTTTATCCTGAATTACATTAAATATGTATGGTTTAATTTTTTCTTTTTAAACGTGTATGTTTTAATTTTGAGTTTTTCCGGAATTTGGGGCAATTTTCAGTTTTTTTTCAATTATTTCCAAGCATGTAGTACACATATTTGTAGATATCGATAGGAGGAGAACAAATTGTAGCAATTAAAAATTTTTTAACGGATATAATAAAAACCTGTTCGATAAGATAGGATCGAAGTAATTCAGGAAGAAAGTTAATTTGTGTTGTAAGGTCAGTTTGGACACCAAGCGGATGATGGAAGTCACATATGAAACTGCATAAAACCTGAACAAAATACAAGTGTTCTTATATAAAATCACCTAAGCTTGAATATTTCCAGGAATATTAAATGAAAGAAAAAAAATAATGAGAATGAAAATTAAACGTAAAAATTTTGTTTGTTTTTTTTTTTTTGTTATCGGTAATATCCTTCATCACATGCATTTTTTTTGGAATTTCATCTGACAACTAATAAATTTTTGATGTGTATCGTATTTAACTCTCCAAAAGCACGTAATCTTAATCAGTTTAGTCACTTCTCAGATTCAAACTTCACGTTTATCACTACTAAATCTCTATGAATATTTCGAAATCAAAGAAGAAAATAGACTTCAGATTTAATGTCTCGTAATTTTTCTGAATGAATTGGTATCTTTTGATTACTCGTGAAAATAGCATCCATTGCAGGCAATCTAAAAAAACAAAAATTACTCTCATCTATCCCTGATAATGATAATATATGATCACGTAATGAAATTTGAGGTCATTCTTCACAAGTAACTTCAAAGATGAGAATGTGATATTATGGTGTAATTTTTCCATAAATCAATGAAATGATTTCAAAATTTCTCGATGTTAGGATTAGATGAGGAGGAAAAAGAAAAAAAATCACTCGAATAGCTCGAGCACTGTTGGTTGAGATTCGTTTGAATGGTGGCTTAGTGAAAAAAGTTGCCCCAATGGTTCATCGATGCATAATGCTAGACATTCCTGAACTGTTGCATGCTTTGGCCAAATTTGATCTTTACGACGCTAAAAAAGAATAAGCACAATCTATTACATTGAATAAAACATATTACGTACAAACTGACTTCAACGTAATATTATGAAGATTAGTTTTCTTCAAGGACAAGTAATTTTAAGTTATCATCTCACAACTTTAGATCATTGAATTTAAACAAGATGTTTAAATTTTGGTTACTTGGTCAGGTAAAAAAAAAAAATCAGCACTTAAGCAAGGAAAAAAATGCAAATATCTAGAATCTTATCAAGTACTTGATGAAAAAAGAAGAAAGACTTCTAACTCTTTTTCTTCCTAAACAATTATATCGCAAAGGATTTCTATGTATAAACAAAATATTCTTCGAAAATATGCGTAATTTTCATAAGCTAAATAAATTACCACATTTCCTCCATTAATTAAATTTTGACTTGTCATATTTGAAAAAAAGAACAAAAAATCAAACCTCTACTTTACAAATAACACTTGTCCAATTGCCATCATGAGGTTTATTTTCTTTCACTACACCACTTAATTTGAGCATTAACTTTTCGGACAAATCAATGCCAATAGTTTGTTTGTCATCGAGAAATACATATTGTGCAGCATTCGAGAAAATTAATGTTGGTTGATTGAGATAGAAAAGTGCCCAACTGAATAAAAATATGGGAATTAATATGGGGAAGAAATGTAGTACTGAATTAAAAGAGAAGTTTGTGATAATATTAGGCCTATCTGAATTTGGATTAACGTTCAAGAAATGCAGAATACGACTGCTTTGCGGATTTATTTTGAGGATTTTACAGGAATAAACTTGTAACATTTGTAAATTTTTCTTAAATAATGATGGGAATTTAAATTAGATCTGTATGTATATTAGTGAAATGTGCAACATCAATACAAAAGGTCAAACTGGAGAAATTGCTTGATACCTAAAATTTTTAGCATTCATACATACAATGGGTTCATCAATCAATAATTTTGGTAAATTCGTCTAAGTAAGAAATTCGATTAACTTCTTGTTTTTTATTTCATTTTAGTCAATTTTACTGATATTTTTACTGTACTGAATAGTAATTTACATTTCTCCTTAATTCAATTTTACTTAATTCTTCCATTTTAAAAAATAACTTTTCATTTCTTGTTTAGAGTTTTTTTTTTCAACCAAATTAAAATGTATATTGGAAAAATATTTCAATGCACCTAATTATAATCAGTCAATAATTTGTATAGTCATAAATTACGAACCGATTCGCCGTAATTTCACCTTCCATTAGAACCAATGAAGCTTGCTGTCCGATAGAAATAAATCGTCCACTAATAATTGTCCTTCCATTACTAGCGTTAGGTATCGGAAATGTTTTACTCTTCATTTGCATATCAGTGACCAAATCAAGAACTGTTGCCCAGTGAAATATTTTCGACAACTTTTCCTCACTGTTAATTGCTGATGATGCTGTACTATTTGTTAGATTAAGTAATACACGACTATCTTGCATTTGTTCCTAAAATTAATAAACTTTTCATTTCATTTCTATTTTCAAGTTTTATTTTTAATTGCATCTTTTATTTGTTTCCTTATACTTTTATTCTCAAATTTTATTTTTAATTAAGCGCTAAAACTTGCGTTTTTCAGTATTTGTACATTTTATCATTAATAACGAACGATATGAATTTGAAAAACAAATTAAAAATAAATTTTATTAGATAGTTTTAAACAGAATAAAACTTCATTTAAATTAAAATTTTATTATTGCTTCTTATCCTTATTCTTTTCTGTTAATTTTCTCGTAATTTCGAATAAATTACAAACTTTATTTGGAATATATCAGGATTGAGTAAATGGCGAGAAATCTTCTTAAAAGTTTTTTTTTTTTTTTAAAAAATAAATACCTTAAAGAATACACTAAGCTTTTGGATGATGCTATCAATGCTGTTTAATGTAGCTTTAGTGATAATAGCTTGTAGTTTAGAATATTTCAAAATTGTGTTAAGCATTATAACTGCTTCTTTTATCTGTAAATAGTCTAAGTAAATTATGAACATTACAAAATATCTAAATTTCATGCTTGTTTTTTGATTACATGCCCAAATTCGATATTTTAATATTTCGAAACTGAAGGAAATGTGAAGCGTAAACTATGTATGTTAACTGACATTATCTTTCTTAATTAAATTTAAAATTTGGTTGAATTTTGACAATGTAAAGCTATCGATAGCGTGATCATTATGAAATTATAGGATTTATTGCTGAATTTTTTTTTTTTTTTGCATAAGCCATCACTTCTCCCGTGTTCTTAAAGAAATCTTTGGAAAGAAGATGAAAGTAATAGTCAGAATTTCTCCTCGAAAATAAGTTTAAATGCTTAATTTTCAGCCTACAATGATTCATTTTCCCCAATGATTAGTTTGTAGGATTTGTCAAAATTTCATAACTCATTGTCTCTTTGAAAATTTTCATACCTTTCCATCTTGATCATTATATAATTTCCATTCATCATGAAGTAGAAGTGATGGCTGATCGAATAATACAATAATAATTACACGACCCATCCAGACAATTCGTATTTCTAATTTTGTGAAGTTTATCTTCGATGAAAATAACGTAGGTTTCTGAAGAAAAAAAAAAATTAACGATTACTCAGATAAAATTTCACTTCCTTCAGATTACTTCACAACGTTTTTGAAAAGTTATACGGATAAGAGGAAGTGATTAAATGAAAACGAACATTGCAAAGTGATATCCAGCTGAAATCGAATGCAGTATTAGAAAGTCGTAATGATCCGGAAATAGCACCACCTTTTGCTTCTTGTTCCAGAAATGATGCCGCAAAGCATACATTCAATCGTCGTTCAACCAACGGTTTAAGCTGTAAATTGAGGAGAGAAGGATAGAAATTAATTTGGAATTTCTTGCAATTTCTCTGAGATATAATAGAATGAAAAAATAGATTACAATTAAGGATTGCTTAGTGATTTGAAGAAAATTAGTTTCATAGTTTTGCTGCAAATAAAAATGCTCATTTTTTTAATCTGGTCAATTAATTCTAATTAAAATATGGATAAAAAAAAAGAAATTAATAAATTGATAATATCACACGGCAATGTTGCATAACGAAAAAAAAACCTCTCTCTGCTGATAATATATTACTTTTTTATCATCATTCCACGAAATAATCGATAATACTTATCAAAAAAAGCTGAAAATAATAATTACATATAATAAACTAACGCAAAATATAGTTTTTGCAGAAATTTTATCAACAATCCAGTTTGTATCACCCATCGCGCTAGACATTTGAATTTTCGCTTTGAAAGCTTCCCAATGGACGCTAACTGATGCTTCAATTGATAATTTATTCATCAATTTGCTCGTTCGTCTTGAACTGCAATAAAATTTCGCAATTAACAATTCATTTTTATAAAATAGATCATGTTTGAAAATAGCATGTATGAAAAATTCGAATTTGAAGAAAAACAAATGGTCGCTGGTGACAGGTGACAAGTAATTAGTTATTTTGAAATTTGCAAACTGAAACAATTTCTCATCTAAATGGAATTAAACTGCAAAAGCATACAATGATCGACCAGCTCCGACACCTTGGCTTCTTAAAAATTGACCATGCTTAAATAGAAGGCGTTGTGCAATCCTTCTGCGATACCATGGAGCTGGAAAAGCGATTAATTGAGAAAGTTTCCGCATATCATATGTAAAAGTTGCTTGACCAATATCAATCGCACAAGTGATCTGTAAATACTTTTAGCCACGATACAATCACTTTCATAAATGATACCCAAAATGCAACAAATAAGACTGATAAATGTGAAGTTCCATCGATGAAATTTGCAAGACAAACCTTGAAATGTGAGTTATCATTCAGAAATACGCTCGTACGTGAAATACCAACAATGAATTTATCTAATGTAAGTGCAAATGCATCCAGCGGAGAAGGCTGCATAAAAACAAACAAAAATAATATTGCTAAATATTTCGCAATAAATAACATACTCGTTAAAAAAAAAAATATTTTATAAAGTTTCCAAAATTAATTCATTAGATTTAGATGAACTACCCTCTCTCATAGATTTCAACATAATGTTTTTGATGAGATTAAAATGAATTGATAAAGATGGCTGAATTATTTCTTCAGAATAGCATCAATAATTTGATTACGCTGAAATGCTTGTGAATTTAGGAAAATTAATAATTAAAACCTGGCGTGGATTATAAAAGCAAACGGAAAGTGATTGTAAGGTTAATGAAATATCTAATCCATTGTTGATACCATCGTTTTGAGCCGATGCAACAAGCTTTAATGATGGTAACCGTAACAAAAGATCCATTGCACCTGCTCTCTAAAAACAATCAGTAAATTAATTCTTGCTCAAGTTAACAAAATATTTAAAAATTATCAAAATAAAATATGCAATAATACGCTTTACATATGTAAGTTTAATTTACAAATCGATTTATAATAATACACTATTAAATATAATGTTATACATAATATTCAATATTCTATTTTATCATTCTTTTCCCAATAAAATGTGTGATCTTTTCAACATTTAAATCGGTAAAATAGTTCATTTCCCTTTTCATCAATTCAACCAAAAAAAAAAAGAATAGTAAGAATAAAAAAGTTCATTAAAATAAATTTTTTCAATTCTTCCATATGTAAGAAATATGTAACATCAATGTTAAATATACTTTAAGCAATAATAATGTACGATATGAATAAGAAAAAAAAAAAAAACCTGTTGATGAGCTTCGAAACGAAGTGAGCTAGACTGAATAGTTATTGATAGTAAGATACTGATCATTAATTTAGAATGAATGTACATTAACAAAGGTTCCGTATTGGTCACAGTGAATGTTTCACTTTCATTTTCTGACTAAAATTATCATGATGTGACAAATTGTCTCATATGTAATTGATAATTAAGTCCATTAAATGATATTAAAAAATATACAAATGATAAGTGTTAGAATCTATAGCTACTAAAAAATTTCTGCGATTGATTATCGATTATCCATTACAATACTCAAATAATTATAGAATTGAATGGTAATTTTATAAAGGTCAAATAGTGATGCCTGTTGAGGAATATGTTGCGGGAAATTTTCCAACAATTGCTGAAAGAAATCAGCAACAACTGGTGTAAGAGCCGTTTCCTCAGGCATATTAGCGACATTTGCTGATATATACAAATATGGTATGCATGTATTCTTTGATGTTATTGCTGCGGTTGATTTTTTCCTAAATATTGAATTATAATAAGAATTTTTTACAATTTAAATTTCAATTTTGGAAGTACTTCTATTAATTATTCTATCATTATTACTAATGAATGTTAAAGTTTAGTGTGTAAATAATTATAGATATAACTTACATAAGAAAAGATTTGGTATAATTTGTTGTATCACCAGTGGAATAATATATTTTTGCTTCAATACTATAAATAATTTAAAAGTGAGAAAAATTTTTTCTCATGCAGCTATCATGTTTAATCGCTTTATTGACCTTGCCGATAAATAGGCAAACTGTGAAATATCAGAGAAAATGAATCGAATGATTTTTGGTGAAAGGTTAAACGTATTGCAGAGAGTAAATACTAAATTTGCAGTTCATAAAATGTAGCAAAAAACCTGCAAGTAACTAAAAGAGACTTAATGCCTGCAAAAACAACAAATGTTCCAAATGACCTCTAGTAATTATATAGGTCATAACATTATATGAGAAAAGTATCTGCTTGCATTGTGCATTGAAATCTTCTGATAAATTATGAAATTGATCTGTAAGTAGAATATGAGTTAACCTTGGTAATGAAATCTTCGTGCATCCTGCACTTTTTTCATCATGCCGTTTGATATCATCTGGAACCGCACTTGTCATACTTGTTAATTCGGTTGGAATTCTATTCCGCAGCATGCATTCGCCAGCTTCACCAAAAAACTACAAAAAATTTTTAAAAATTTTGACAAAAAAAATAAAATGAATTCATTATATAATAAAAATTCTCATTTTTAACAGCTGAACTATTTTGTTTATTGATGATGCTTGTACTAATACTTAAATCCATTTGGCGTTTACTTTGAAAATTCAAAGCTTAAAATTAGCTCTCTATTTTGTATCAAATAGATCGTCAATGTTTGAAGAACGTTTCAATGAAAATGGTAAAAATTAGGACAAAAATAAGCTCAATTATTTTCCAATTTTTCTTTTAAAAAATTATTACATTACTATACGAAGCTGCATTAATAATATATTAAAATAATCATGATAAAAAAAAAATGATTTCGTGAAAGTGAAGAAAGTATGGAGAACAAGAATGGTGCTAAAATAAAATGAGAACAATTTAGTATTTTCATTAATTAATTACCTGCATGTCAAATGCAAATTTGTTATTTATTTTTTCATCAGTTCTCATCATATGATCATTCATTTTAGCCAGAATTTCATCCTCTCCTAATAATGCACTGCCAATATTCCCTTTCGATCGATAATTTGTTGCAGTTTCTCGAAAGAATTTTACAGATTGCTCACCTGTAACTGATTCATTGTCCGATTTTTCCTCACCATCACTTTCATCTTTTGTTTTGTCCTGCAAATATTTTATAACTTATTTCAATTTAGTCTTAATTTATCGAATAAAANAGAACAAAGCACAATGGTACTCTCAGTACTTTTTTTATCATTTTCAACCTAACCGTTTTTGCAACCGTGAAAATGCAACTTTCCACCTAATTAGTTTTTATAAAACTAAGCTTTGACTGATAGAAGAAATAATCTCTGGCTAGATTAACCTAATAAAATAGTAGTTATTTAATATTATAATCTTCTATATATTTAAATGATTTCAAACAAAATATATTTAAAAATATTTTCGAACGAATGTATAATTAAGTTAAATTTAGTTCGTTTAAAAATACTTCTGTAATTGGTGGTGACTTTTTAAATTGTTTCACTCGTAATTTTTGCCGTTTTAAACGATCAAGCATCGATTCCTTGAATTGCTTCACTCGAATTAGTTGAAGTTTTTTCAAGCGTCGTAATTCCCACTGATATGCAACATCCGTTCTGTGAGTTTTTATTGCAGCCAATCTTTGCGTTTGCTCATAAATCTAAAGATGTCCATTAATGAAATAATTACTTATTCTGATAGATTAATTTTAATTTTTTTAGTTTTGTATTTTTTTTTTTAACTTTCTGTGAGTTCGGTTGTTTTTTCCTTTTTTTTTTGTTCTATTTAAAAATACTCAATTCTAAAAAAATTGATCAAAACTACACGTATTTCATCCATTCTTTAAAACTCGCATGCGATTTTATTTCAAACTGAAAAAAATCACTGGATTAAACTTAAATTCTGATCTCGGTAAATATGTAGAGTATGAAATGATTTTAACAGTTAAAAAAAAATTATCTATGAAGTTAACTTCGTTCAATCTTTCCCTCTTACTTTCCAGCTATGATTTCTTTTTTTTTTTTGGTAATAAAAATCTCATAACATAAAATGCTTATTCCATTCTCTTGAAGAAGTACTGCCATGCTTTAATGAAATACTGTATTTACGCTGTGTTCTATAAATTACTCCTTTAGTATTGTATTTATAAAGTACTCCTTTGTACAGCGCAAGAAGATTGTATTTACTACATTCTCCTTCTATTTCTATATTTGCTGTTAATAGTTATATGATTAAGATACTCGGACGCTAATCATATCAATTAAGTAAAAACTGCTAATTCTAAAATGCACTGAATTATCTAACAGAGGACGAAAGTCTCACAAAACTACCAGTTTAAGACAGTTTAGTTTCTCTCAAATTTATTTATACTTCCATCAGTTAAAATTATTTAAAACTTTTAAATGGTTTGTTTTATTGATTTAGTTTGTCTTTAATTTCATATTTATTTTTTATTTTTTGAATTTAAAATAAGATCTGCACATAAATGTAAAATGATGGGGCATCAAAATTTTAGTTTTCTTCATTTCCTTTCCTTTTTTTTTTGATTTTTTTCAAACTAAATAATGATATTTATAACCTTTTGTTCAACCCAACGAATTCGTTCTTCCGGTTTTACGATTGATGCATATTCGTTTTTCGGATTAATATCATCATCCCGTTCCAATTCGCTTATCACAATTTTCATCGGTTCATATTCACTAGCATCAACATCTTGATCTGCATTAACCGCTGCGCATGTATTCCGTACCGCTCCAATCAAACTTCCAATACGCTGCAAAATATTGGTGTATTTTTCATTTTTTTTTTTCAAGATTTCCTTGATTTTTTCCATTTTATCAAAAATTATAAAAATTTCATAAAATGGAAAAAATTTCAATTTTACAAGAAAAATTGCAATTGTCTTTGAAATATAACATTCTAATGAGCAATTTAAGTATTTTATCCACTCATGAGTATGTCGATCAGGGTAGAGAGAAGTTAAAGAAAAAGTTGTGATGTATGTACCATGAGGATAATAATTAGTAATTAACTGTTAAACAGTAAGTCAGTCTAGGCAATCAAGCTTAAAAATGTGATTAGGAATATACATGCTAGAGTATGAATAATCACTTCAATCTTTATGTTAGTTAAATTATCTCAGTAATCACTCATTGATTAATTTAGAGATGGGATATTTTCGAGCGAATTGGTGAATAAGAATGGGAATTTTAGATGAAGCGCATATATTTCTCTTTATTCCCCTAAATTGATTGAAATTATAACTTACACTATCAATATCAAACAGAAGGCCTTTCATTGAGCATTGGACAGATGCTACTTGCTTATATTGCTCCGATCTTGAAGATTTCACAATAATTTTACAAAGGCCAAGCGGAAAGAATGCAAAATTTGTCGATGTGACTTCTTGGCCATTAATCCAGGATTCTTCCATTGACTGAAATATAATAGTTGTGGCTATTGCAAGAAATTTTCTATGAATAATGAAAAATAAAAATATCAAAAAATTTTGGCTATAATATTAAGATTTCTCGTCTCGTTATACTATCATGCGTTAGCTTTTCTTTCCCTACAGATCATTGTCAGATTGATAGCTAACATATGACCTAATGAAGTTATTTCTTTCTTCTTGTATACCACTGAAAGAAATCCAGGTTATGAACGATAAAAGTTAAGAAATTTCGCAATATAGTTAGCTTAGTTATCAGTCAATAATATGAGAAGGAATAACTAAGGGTAATGCAACTGTTATCAAGTATAAGATGATTTCAAGCAATTCATTTAAAAAAATTAGTCAGCAATTAATTTAAAAAATACATTTGAATACAGTATATAAATGAAAAGATTTTTACACTAACATATTCAAAATTTTCCACGAAAATAAATTTAAAATCGCTAAATTTAGCTTCAATTTTAGCTCGTCGTACAAATTTAATTATTGCTTCAGCATCTTTTAAACCAAATAAGAGGGCAGATGTAAATGGTCGATAGTTGTTACTATAAAGTGGTATACATGCTGTGGTACGATCACGAAACAATAGCGTTATCTTCATTGAAACTCCATAGGTAGCATCCTTAAATACAGAGTGAAATATTATTATTTGGTAATTTCTACGAAAATTCATTAACCTAAAATCAACTAAAATGCCGGAATTTTTTTATTCCGTAAAAAACGTATCATTGAAATGAATTTGTTAAACTTTTCACTAACATATGAGATTAATCTTTTTTAATATCCTACGTTCAGAATTGATTCAGGTTATTTCTTCGTATTGAATTGTCTGAAGGGCTAAATTGTAACATTTCAGAATTTCATAAATAGAAATTTCTAATCATTGAATTAAACAATGAATTCTAAGCTAAGTTTTGCCGTAGAATTCAAGATTATGACCACATTTCTGGACGCTTATTTTTAAACTGATCACTATAAAGAAGTACTAAAAGTGAGCTATGCGACGTTATTTGCGACGAGTCGTTTCTTGCTTGCATCGCATGGAACATTTTTTGTTTCATCCAAAAACTTCGTGATAAAGTGAAATCTCGTAGAATATCTTTCGCCTAAAAAACGAAAAGTTATGGTGAAAGAAAACGAGAATTTGCAAAAAGTGCAAATTCGAAATTTCAACTGGAAAGGATAAATAAGATTAGTAAGTTGAGAAAATAAAAAACATGAAGAAGTTATAAAAGACCGGAATACATCGATTTGCGAATCATTTTTCATTTATAAGTGTAATAAAAACAACTATATTTATCATGCAGATAAGCTAAATCGATTGTGTTAAAATCAATAAAGAAATTTTACAACTAATTACACACCCTGATGATTGCTGGAAATTTGAATAAAATTACGGTACGGGAAAAAATGATGGTAGCATCAGGAACACCTTTGGGTCTGAATTGAAGTGTACATATTAACTGAAAAAGAATTAATGTCGAAAAGTCTTTTGAAAAGTTAGTTTCAAAATAGAGATGAAATGAATTTGGACCATAAATGAAATTTAGACAGTAAATGAGTGAATAAGCTAAAAAACAACAAACATTAGTAGTGAGGTCAGCTAACTCTCGTAATTCATCTTCTTGAAATGCTTCGTTTCGTATCATTTGTCCAAGTTTGAAATTTAAACAAAATGATATATTACCCTGTATTTGTCTCTGTAATTTTGTTACTCATTCAATCATAAAAGCTTTATAAAAACAAATAAAAAAATGGCATATAAAAACATAACAAACATAACAATGTGCTGATAGTACCAATCATTCCTTTTTTTAAAATTCCTTTATAATAAATTTTATCAAAAAAATTTCCAAGATTTGAATGAAAGGATTTAATGTTTGATAGATGCAAAAATGTGCAAGCCTCAAAAATATTGTTGTTCAGGATATTTCGTCCCATAAAAAATATATTGATCACTTCTGTTGTAATACGAAATGCCGTATTGGTTGTATCAGTTAACGTCAATTTCAACCATGGTGAAACATTTTTGCAGCAAATCTTAAGTTAACGAAACTTATTATTTAGTGATATGATTAAATTCCCTAATCATTTTCAGATATATATCATTCGAAAACGTAGGAAGATAGAATAAATGAGTTAAATTCTTCATTTCCTTAACAATGTACACCATGAAAGCGTTCTAGACAATCTACTTGTATAATTAATTAAGTTAATTAGAGTTAATTAAGATAGATGTACTGAAATGAAATTTCTTTTCATATCAACTAACTTATCTTTAGTCTTTGTTGCCTCGTTATTATCTCAGTGCTTTCTTCCGTAAAGTTAAGTTTTAATAGCATTTAAAAAAAAATGTCTGATACATAAATAGGTTTTAACCTGTAATTGGAAAAGAAATGGTGATTTATTAGATGAATTTGCACACAGAATTTCCATAACATGCTGAACTTCGGCAATAGCTGTTTCATGTGAATATAGTAGCATATTTAATATATCGGTGTTTATTGATTGATCCAAACTTCCTGAACATTAATTGACTGTATTTGGTACAGAATATAATAGCAGTAATGGATTACAGTGCAATTGCTTGATTTAGCTAACAACATTATTCATTTTTTTTTTTCTTTTTCATGTAACATATTAACCAAATACCAAATAAATTTGATAAATTTAATTTGCAATGATAATAGTTTTCTTTGGTTTACATTTTATCTACAAAAAACAACGAGCAAAAATACTAGTTGATCGTGATGTTACAATGCATTATTAGGATGTATTCAACTTCATATTATATGAATATTGTAATTTAGTATTATGACAGTATTATATTAATGATATTATTGTTAATTGTATTAAATTATTAGATTTCTATTTTATGCTACATTATATGGGAATAATATGTAGAAAGTTTAATGCAGGAATTACATAGAAATATATAAAAAATTGCAATGATTCGGAATTTTGCATAAGTGATAATATTTTGATCGTAGTAGAAATTATCTGATCTTTTGCTCCTCTACTTTTTATACCTTATTAAACTGATATCTTTATTATAAATTCGCTTACCAACAGTGATAACAATATTGGCATACGATTCATTGGAGCATACAATTTCTTTATTACCCATTCGAATGATTTCATTTTCATTTACAGTACACTTTTCGTATACGACCAATAATGATGGTAATTTGATAGAAAAACTTCCCAATCGCATCCATTTTGGTACTTTTTTTGAGTAAAATGATGTATACGTGATAGAATGATTTTCAATCGATGCTTTACCTTTTTTTGGACTGAAATAAACTTTTAAACTTGTCAGAAAATAATATATAATTAAATGGTTATTATAATTATTATACACACATATATTAAGATACTACAAGAAATTTGCAATTAAAAATCGCTTTAGTAGTTGAAATTTCGAGATTTTATAGAAATGACTGCCTACTAACAAGAAATAATCGATACGCAATAGCATATCAAAGCAATAAAAAAGTTTAACTCCAATTGAAACTAAACCAAACATCATGCAATCAAAAATTAACGTAAAATATATGTCAGATGATATTTCGATTTACAAAAGTTACGTTTTGATTTTTTTAACCTTCATGTATTTTTTTTTCTAAAAATCCTTGACATATGACATAACTCAGAAATATTAAAATAATTATTTGATCGAATAAATGAAATATTCAGAAAGTTTCCTTACAAAATTCCAAAACAACGCGTATTTTTGAAGTTATATTTTGCCGCAACAATTGAAGAAATTTTAGCATTCATTTCACCGTTCAATATTTCGATATCAAAGTTAAACTGAGCCATTTGTTGAGTTTGTTTCGTTCGTTGTCGTTCGTCTGACGAGGACTAAAATAGAAACTTATAATCCACTGAAAAAGGTATATTGTTGTTAAGAGTGAAATCAGTGTATTAAAGAATTTAAATCAGTTTCTGTGATAGATTTGAAATATTCAAGACAATTAATGACTAAAAAGAACTAATGAACATGAGCTTCGAGGACGAATTACAGATTTGAAAAAAAAAAGTCATGGCTCAAATTCAAAGTTTAAATTAAAGCTTTGATTTACTTCCTGCCAAAATTATTCCGAAACCGTTTTCCACTATTCAATCTCTCCTTTACTTTCTCCCACCTTTCATAATTAATTTATTACTACTAAGTTAATTATTGAAAAAATACAATAAATACAAAAAATTCGTCAATTATGATTACGGATGAATATTGCTCTAACTCGGTAGCTACAACGAATTACTTCAAGGTTTCAGCAAAAATTTACTGTTGTATTTTCTGTCCTTTAACGATGGAATCAAATGATTTATCATACTTTTTGAAATATTAAAACAATATTTTATAAATTTATGAGAAGACACGTTTTATTATCAAAATCTTACTAATTAATTCGTGTATAAGTGAATAATCCATTATTTAAAATCACGAAATAAAAGAAGATACGAATATCAGCTGAGAACTAATTAAACTTACTGCAAGCGAATTTCCTTCTTTATCTTCTTCCTCTTTCCTATCTTCTGTTCTTATCACAAATGAACTTCCAATGACGTAATTTAACTTCATACTTTCCACAGTCAAACGAATAGCATTTTGGAAATCGTTCGTTTCATATATCCTAAATATTTTTCTGATTTGTGCATGCAAATTTAATAAATTTTTTTCAGAACAATATTTCCAGCAATCATTGCATTTGCATGCATAAATCTGTAAAGTGAGAAATTTACTTTTCAATATCCGTATAGAAAATCATTCTTCAGGTTAGCGAGATCATTTTGCTATTTATTCATATTTCATGGTTAAATTTCAAACTTATGGTCTTTATAGTCTATTTCATTCTATATTTTTATTAGGAACGAGAAAAAATTATACTTCAATAAATTTTGAGAAATAAAATGTGAGCAAAACCTTCGAAAAATGCTAGTAACTGTAGTGAGTAAACCATGAAATATAGCATTTATATCGGGAGTTTCCTTCTCGGTCAACATCATTTTAATATCCTGAATTGTAAATGTGACCTCCTGCATTGTTTTTCTTGGATTATCTATGAAATATACGTTCTTATGATGTATCTACAATGAATAATTCATTAGATTTAACCATTCATTTTTCAAAATTTTTAATTAACCAGTTTTCCAGTTTTCCAGTTTTCTTATTAACCAGTTTTTTTTTTCTTTTTTGTTTGTTTGTTTGTATATTTTTCATTATAACTTATATGTTTGGATGTATGTTAAACAAATAATTAAATGAATATATTTGTTAGCAAAAGGAGTTACAGTCGTATGTTTTTGAAGATTGATAACGAAAATTATTTAAACATCATTTAATTATTCATTGGAAATATCGTATTATGTTTAGAAATGTGACATACGAAGTGACAGACGTATTTGATCATAGTAATATTATGCAGAGACTATTTGGCTACTTCATTAAGCTAATCATACCTTGCTATTGAAAATTCTTAGCATTAGGATAAGATGCATAATTTTTGATTCAAATTTGATTGCCGAAATGACTACATTATTATTAACAGTAATGGAAAATTCTGCAACGTCCGGTTTCTGTTCTTCACTCGTGTACCTATAAATATGAGGATGACGAAAATTATAAACATTCATTTTGATTCCTATGAGTTTGTTATTTCTTACCGTAATCTATAAATTCACGCTAGTCGATTTTAAAATTTTGAACGAAATGCAAACGATGATTTCTAAAGCAAAGAAATGTACGATCGACTGACTATATGGAAAAACTGGTAAAGAACTCGTAAAAAAAAAAAACGAATAAAATGGATTCTTGAATAGATTAGGATTGAATATCCCCTTATCATCTTGAAATTCAGAATTTTAAAAAATTAAAATTATATTGGAGGAAATAGGCAAGAGATATGAAAGATAGAATTGGCAAAAAAACATTTGTTTATGTTGTAAAAATACAGTAATAAGAATACTGATAGATTATTTAAGAGTAGAATCAAAAATTATCAAAATCTAAAGAAAAGGTTACAGGTGAAATCGATGACTTCTATGTCAGACTGTTTCATTATTAATTTCTTTATATCAGACTGCTTCATTATTAATTTCATTATATAAATTACTTTGAAATTAATTAGAATACACAAAAGTAACAAATTAGTAATACAAACGTATTAATTTTATATTCACGTAGCAAATTCTGCATTGTAAGAATCCATTTTTGTTGCTTCCCTCCATCATCTTCAATGATGATCGATTCGCTAATTTTGCTGACAGAATTCTGCGTGTCATCCAAATGAATCATTGATGTTAGGAGTGCTTTGTCAGCCATACAGTACGTAATGCTTTGCATCACTTCGTTTAGCAAATGAAAAACTGCTTGCGTGCAAAATACCTCAATTCGTGGGAATAGCGTTCCAAAGTTTATTGCCAGAAATGCTCTAAATAGTTGGAAATGCAGTAAATTAATAAATTTGATCAAGAATAAAGAAAGATTACATTGAATAATTCTGCAACTTTTTCTGGTCATTTTTTTTACAAGACAAGTAATATGCCAGATAATGTTTTTAATATTAGCTAACTCTTAATTATTGGTCATTTTAAATCCTTTTGATCGATTAATTTAATAGTATTTTAGCGCAATTTGAAATACATATTAATTTTGCTAATAATGTTCAATTACAACTTAATTTTGATATTATGAGATGTCAACTGAATGAAAAAATAATTACTGATCGATTTCTTATGCGGAACTTTCAATTTATTACTTACTTTTTTGCTTTGATTTAATTATTTCAGATTAATTCCGAATTATTATTTAAATTTTTTGCTATTTTAAGTCAACTCCAAATTCTTATCTAAATTGTCATTTCAAATCAATTTTATATTATTATGTAAATTGTTCAATCAGTTTTTTTGTTCTTTATTTTCCATTAATTCATGCTGTAAGCAATTAATGCTCCCTGAAATAATTAATTTATGTGATTATCAAAATCGATGGACATAGCGTTATATCAATAAAATTCCTTGGTTTTTTTTNTTGGTTTTTTTTTCACGAAATTAAAAATGATTTACTTTGTTACATTTAACTGTTGATTATCCATCATAATATTGTAAGCGACTGCGGCATCAAAGGTTATCGTATCCAAAAGTAAAAATAAAGACGATTGCTGTTGAACAATTTGATTTTTCCTTTTTACCGACTGAGTTAAGTATGTCTGCAAAAATTTGCTATTTTATTTGCTATTGAGAAGTAAATTTTAAACAAGCATTCTAGTGGTTTTTAATTGTCACAGACAGACTGATGAAATTATAATTAAAATTTCTTGTTAGGTTCAAAATGAACTTTTCACTGTCTATGATAATTCTTTCGTTATATCTAATTAGTTCAGAATTATTGCTACGATCTGCTTTCTTTTATAAAAGATAAACTTGAAAAGAATAACTACCCTCTTTTCATTTACAGCTGAACATTTGAATTTTTAATTAAAGTTTAAATTTTATTTTATCTTCATATTAAACATGAATTACTTCAATTTTTCACTCTCGATTATTTCTTTCCAAATTTTTTCTCCACTCTATCTACCTTATGAAATCAGACAATTTCAGATTTTTTGTCAAATTTCACATTGTGAAAAGAAGTAAGAAATGATTAAAATACAAACCTTAAACTCTCCAATCATTAATTTGAATGAAAATTGGAGTCTTTTAAGTGGTAAATTAAATAGCATATTAGTATCTAAGTGGTAGTTCTGCAAATTATCCAAAATTATCTCAAGTCAAGTAATTAAAGCAAAACAAAGGCAAAAAGAAAATAATGGTAGATTTATTATCAGAATATATTCAAATATTGATTTAGTAAATCTTTGCGAAATCTTCGGTGTTTTTTTGGAAATTAATCATTTTTGTTTTCTCGTAGCTATTTAATCAGTTTTATTAAAGAATACTTCAAATGGATCCAAATTACGACGAAAAATTTTGAAATGTTAAACATGCATGATAACATTCAAGAAAATGAGAATTATCATTTCATATCAAATTAGCATAATTATTTGAAACGATTCAATAATAAATAGCATCGTTCTTACTTACTTTAAAAATTTTAAACATATTTGATCCATTAACATTATGATCATCATTAAGTAGTGTTGCATGAAAATTTTTTGCTAATTATCCTATTATTTGACGATATATTCTTCTAATTATTTGAAAAAATTTTCAACAAATTTTAAATGTACCTTGAATAAAGGCCAAAAAAATACAAGTGGTAAAATATTGAATTGTTTCATTGCGAGATTTTCAGCCATGCCTAGAAAAAATTACCGTAAGCCTTTTATACTATATTATTGAAAAGAAAAACAAGAATATTTACAATTACTGTTTTTAGTTTGTTGCTTTTAGTTTATGATAACAATATTTAGGATTATTATTTTTAGTTTATCAAATTTAACAAATGAAATTTGTGTTGAGTGTTACATCAATGTTAATTCCAATACCTGGATTTGCTGTTGAACCAAAGACCGATAGCGATGAAGTAGATCCTGCAGCTCGCTCTATTGTTATAGCATCTTCACTAGCAATTGGAAACGCTCCTACTATTGATTGCATATTTTCCGATAATAAATCTCGAGAGTACTTTTTAGCTGTTTGAACATTGGTAATCTAAAATTAAAGCTAATTTCAAACAATAATTGATGTGGAGTAAAAAAGAAATAAAGAATGATTAGGAAAACCGTTGCACTAACCAAGAATATTTCATATATTATGATAAACTAAACTGAAATAAAATTTAATGAAAAAAACAAGTTAAAATCAGTTACATAAATAATTAGCAAGTATAAAATCCAAATGTTACAATTTTACAATCAAAAATATTTGGTAAGCCACATAATCATATGGTAAACGACAATATGAGTATACATAGCTGTACAATTAAATTATTCGTTCAGTATACCGGATGACATTTTAGGTTATCATTTTGAAATTTTATGCCGCTTATTGTCTAATGGCCATTTTTATATGATTCGTGTATATATTTTCTTTATCGGAATGGTGAAATTGATTTAAAGAGCTATTCATTTCCGGTCCATCTTGCTATTAATACATCAACTAACCTTAATATGAGGTTCAAGTAATTTTTGCCAAGAATTTAGTAACGCAACTAAGGCTAATTTGCGATCCGATTTTGATACAATGAAAGATTCTGATTCTAATGAATGACTCGTCCAATAATTATATCGTTCAGTTTCATCCTTATGCATTGAGCAATGCAATAAGAAAAGCATTAGCTTACAGCTTGCACATGCGTTCATTACCGTTGCATATTGTTTCACTTCATTCAATGAACTTTGACACACCGTTAAAATCTGAGATAAAAGAAAATGTTGCTTAAAAAAACACAATAACAAGCAAGAATGTAATAATATGAAGAAAAAGATTTTTCTCCATAATTTTGGAAATAGCTTTTAAATAAGTCTTAAAATTACAATTCATCGTTTGTACGATTTTCTCGGAATAAATTAAATAATATTTTTAATTATGAATAATATTAATATGACACTGATTAAATAGTTGATCAGAATCAAGTAAAAAAAAATCCTAATATGAAATTTCAACCAAATCATCGCGTAAATCCAACGCTTCACTTAACGCTTTACACATGCATAAATCAACCCATTGATCGTATTTCACTAATGTACAATGGATAGATTCTTGAAATTGATAAAGCACATGAAGCCAAGATGTCAGTGATGATGTTAGTGCTTGCTGTAGTAATGTCACATCACTAAAGTAGTGGAAAATATTTTCTAATTTAATCAAAAATAAAATTTTATCCTCATTAATGAAGAAAAAAATACACACAAAACAATTCATTAAGAAAGGATAGCTTATTGACAAAATTCTCATATATTTCATGTTGCAACTTTTTTGCAACATTTTTAATACCTTTTATGTAGTACAAAAATATCTTTTTAGGCATAAAATAATCATAGCATACAATGCAAATTACTTATAAAATAATCGTAGTACATAATTAAAGACATGATTTATTTATTTAATTATTTGTTAATGATTTCTTATTATTTCAATAAAATGGAAGAAAGCAAAATTTAATAATTTCAAACCTTTGTTTATCCCAATGTTCATTACCAAAAGAAATCCTTAAACGTGGCTCGCCTATACGAATTACAATTTCACTACCGTTAATCAAATGCAATAAACTTCGACGATTAATACATCCTTTTAGTAAAATATTTGGTACATTTAATTCTGCAATGAGGTATAACAATTTTAAATGTGTGAAAGAGAGAAAGAGAGAGAGGTAAGGAGGGAAAAATAGAAAATAATTTAATTCTGAGAAATGTTATTTAATTTGCTGATAAAGGTAAAATGTACTTTCCCTAGCAAGCTATTCTTGCTTATCTACTTTAAAATAGTGAAAAATCGTTATTTAACGGAAATATTATGATCATTATCTGCTATCACTATCATTACTCAATTCTCAACATCATTACTCATTTGTTATGCTTTTTGAATAAACAAGCAGTTTTGAGAATTTCATTGTTTGAATTGATAATTGTTATCATCACCATTATAATTATTCAGTATCACTATTTGTAGTTTTTGAATTATCAGGTCATTTTGAGCACATTTTCTACACATACTACTTATGTGACATCTCACACAATGCATTAATATGTTACAAAAACAATTATTTAAAAACTGCACCGATATTTTGCTTTATCTCTTTCAGATTTGTACCATGCTCTGCTGCCAATCTTACACATTTTAAAACATTTTAAAAGAAAAAAAAGGAATTTTTTAATTTTTTAATAATTTCTGAAAATTAATTTTTCTTAAAATGTGCATCATTAAAAATAAACACTAATTATAAAATATAATAAGAAAGAGATATAATTAAAATAAAGAAATATACCGTTAAGAATGATTAAATTACTATGTCGTAATCGTTTTGATATATCCAATTTCTGCCAATTTGTTAAAAAATTAATTTGCCAATCATCGATCAAAGGCTTACACTCTCTCATATAAGCAATTTTTGCAAATTGAGCATGATAAAACGTTTGTACATCAAAGCAGATCATTTGCACATCCTATATTAATCAGCAAAAAATGTGTCAACACTTTCATACATTTGTATTTTCAATATCTTTCCTCTTTTTGTGCAATAATCCAATTCAATTTTTGCTTAAATTACCATGTCGAAATTATTTTGATGTGTCTAATTTTCGTGCCAATTGATACTTCTTCTTTGATTAATTTTAAAAACAAAAAAAAAAAATGATTTCGTTTAAGAAAAGAAAAAAATTAAAAGAAAACAAATTATTTATCAGCGTAATCCATGTGAATAGAATAGTATAACTATAATCGTCCACTTATTTTAATTCAATTTTTTTTCGAGAATTGAAAATGAGCAAAGAAGAACCAAATATAAAATTATTGTTCTGGTCACTAACATTCTGATTATTCGAGGAAACACTCAAATAACATTCCCGTCCATAAATCATCGTGACTGTACAATGTGTGGCGGTGGAGCGAGTGGAATTGCCGTTCCTGTCACCACCTTTTAGAAGCTTATCATCAATAATATTTCCTTGGAAAAGTGTAATATATAGAGATGGTAAACCAAAATGAGCACGCACCGCAGGTAGTAATGATTCTGAAACATGCTATCGGTTAATCATAAAAAATAGTGATAAAAAAAATTCAAGATGTTTTCAAATTTAAAGTCAAAGCTAAAATTGAACATGCAAAATACTGATATCGCAAATCGGAGATTATTGAAAAGTCTAATTTACCCTGAGCAAAAACATTGCTTTTTTCGATGATCGGTTGCTTATGATATTTGAAAGCGCATGAAGCATAGGCATGTTGTATTATCGAAATTGGATTCATTGCTGTTAGCATCATTTCAGCTCGTTTCATAAGCCGTTGTAACACTTCGATACTTAGCGGTGTAAGAAAGATCTATTTAAGAAATAATAAAATCATGCACAGATAATTTTGATAAATAAACAATTTCGAATTACTGGTAAATATTTCAATAATTAACAAGAACAGTATTCATAATAATAATAATAAAACGATAAGCAATATTTAATCAATAATAAGAAATGTGTAAAAGAATATTTTGTAAAAAATTTGTTACAAAAAAAGCAAAATTATCTTTCAGATTTCAAGTCAAACATAGCAAATTTTATGATCAGGAAATAGAATTACGAAAAAATAAATAAATGAATAAATAAATGTATAAAACCTTTGTTACTGAAGAAATATTTCCCCATCCATAAATAATTTCAGGATGAGTACCCCAATCAGTAGGTCGTTGATCGTATATTATTTGCGCATTTTGCGTATGTATCGATTGTGATACTTCATCTTTTGATGAAATATTTTCCCTATTTTTACTTTCTACTCTTGTATCAATCAAATGTAAATTATTAATGCCATTTTGAATCTATAAATCAAATATCACTTGTTAATAAATACCATCGGATATTTTATCAAAAAAAAAAATTATTAACCAATAAATATTTGTATGTTTTCTCTTGCAATTAATACTTTGCAGAACAAACCTATCAAATCTTAACTAATATCATATCATCGATAAGCTAGCATGCAAAAATAAAATTGTTTGATACAAAATCAATCACAGAAAATCTGAAATTTGACGCTAGTATAAGCAGATATGCTATTTAACTGATAGCATAATTTTTGCATAATTAAGCGCAAAACAAAAGTATCTACCAATTTAAATCGATTGAATATGTTTGGTGTCTTCATATCATTGAACTGTATTTGGTATACATTCAAAAAATTATGATAAGTATCGAGAAGAGTTCCCGAGGTACCCATAGACTTTGTTGTTCCCGGATATGTATCAGAACTATCTGGATAAATTGTTGTGCCTGATTTCTGTAAAACAAAGCCTGATTTGTGTAAAAATTTCCGATTCATGTTTTGAACATAAGTTTAAGTTGTCTTAAAAGAAAAAATAGTTAGATTTAGAATTATACAAATTTATTCCGCGTGCTTTAAAATTCTGCATAATTCAGTAGAAAGATTGTAAAGTAATTGAGGGATTGATAAAACTGTTTGCTCATGCAAATTCAATAATTTCAATTGATAAGTCATGTAAAACCGTATTTAAGGATCTGCTGATCAAAGTCGATGAACTGTTCGTTTAAATCTTCATTCATTTTTAATTAGATTATTAACAATCAATTCAGATCATTGTTAATTTGAATCATTAACATTGATAGATTTAATATTTTTTTATAATTTGATATATCTAAACAACTCATTTTCCATCATTTTTTATCAGTTTATTTCAATACCGATATCCGGTAATTCCTCATGAAATATTCCTATACGTTTAGTAAACATTAAACGTCAAACATATTAGAGTACAGCTATGTGTTAGATTTTAAACTTCATGCATGATTTAAAATCTGAAATTTAGAGGGTAAGGAATTTATTGTAAAATATGAAAGTACCTTATGTTCATTGGAAAATGTAATAATTTGCAAATTATTTTCATCGAATAACCTAAAAAAATTTAATAAGTAAAATTTAAACTCGATCAAAGAATTGAAAAAAGAAATTTTTTAAACCTACTTTGCTGATGAACGAATGATACTTTGACCAAAACCAGGCTGTTTAGACTCATTGTTAATTTGTGGTCGTGCAAGTTTTTGCGTAAAGTCAGCCATAAAAATGCAACCACTGTAAAGTAAATGAATTTTGAAGATTTCCAAAAAACACCAACTGTAGCATACATGATAAATTTGATTTTTCTAATTTTATCTTAGTGCCACAAGAAACTTTTCGAACGCCTGATGAAGTTTATCCATAAGGTAATTGAGAGTAAAATAAGAGCTAGAATTAAATAATTAAATTAATAGCATGAATTTCTCACTTTAGTTAATTTCTTCTTCAAGGAAACATAACTTACAAAAAAAAAGAAAAAATTGTCAATAATTAATCCAGTAAATGAATACATTGATAAAGAAGTAAAAAATGAATGTTATTAGAATCCTGCGATGTATATGAATTTTTCGTGTAAAGAATTTGTTTGTTGTGATAGCACCTAATAGTAGCTTTAAAGTTTCTGATGTTTTTGACTGTTAAAGGATTATGTGGCTTCTAAGTTTCCATACTTACTTTTTGCATATGCTTCACTATAAAACTCGGTAATGGTTGCCAAATTCATACAATAAACAATCAGCGATTAATCTTTCCATCAAATTTACATAAGCAAAACCTATTCAAATCATTTATATTTCTAAAATTAGAAGAAGGAAAAAATTTTTTCTCCTACCTGCAATCGTCATCACCAAAAAATGCAAAACTTCCATAACAACCACATTTAGCCTCATTCAGCCATAAAAAATACAATCTAGAAAATTTCCGCATAAAGAAAAAAATTGCAAAAATGTCGAAAAGCTGCATTATCATTTGGTTCACTAGCCAACAAAGCTTAATTACATTAAGAAAGAAATTGTAATCAATTTATAAAAATTAGCTCTTTTCCTAGCTTGGCAAAAGAAATTTGTAAATTGATAATTGCCAATGATTAGAGTTTAGATATGGTGTAAGACAATAATAACGTTAAAAGTCAAACTAAGAATAATCGAAATAAAAATGAAAAAATCATCGATTGTTTATTTACTCCATCGAAAATTATTATTATTTTTTTTTTAAAATATCTGATTATCTCAATAATCGTATTCGTGACGAACCGTTTCGTGTATTCGTCATGCATTTTCAAAAATTTTTTTCGTTCACTCATCAAGCATAAATTTTTAGACGAAAATGGTAGCCGAATTTCAAATTCGATATCTTGAAAATGAGCCAATCCACATTCAAGCCATTCATTATCATATTTATTATTCATCGAACATTTAATAAACTGTTTGAAATCTAACTGAAAAAAAAAAGAAACAAAAACTGTTAATTTTTCCATTAACATATTTTCATGACATCCCTTCATTAAAAATCTCCGAAATGTCGGAAATTCGCTAACTTGCTTGTATTGCTGTGTAAACGAATATTTCCATTGCCGTTGCCAATTGGCAAATTATTTAAACTTGTAAATTTTAAATAATTTTGGTGATAAAATAAGTATTAACCTGAAGGATGCCAAATAAAAAGCTCGAGCAAAAGGAGCATTCATGACAGTTACAGGTACACATTCGACATGGTTCCATTGATATGCATATCATAGCAGAATCTTCCACGATAACAACATTCATTAAATCGATACCAACACGAATCAAAATATATTTCAACTGCAAAAATCAATTAATATATATACTTTTTTTTTTGGCTACAAGAATATAATCATGTCAACCTAATATGAACATCAAATTATTGAACTGTCAAAATAATAACAAGCTCAAATTTTATATTTAAATACTTAAAAACAGCACAGCTTCTTTAATCGCAGAAGTATTAAAATTTGAAATATTAAGGTATTAATATATCTTGTTAAGTAATAAGTATAAGAAGTATTAAGGTGCCTTAAAGGATTCTTTTCAAGTTATTTCATATTGGAAACGTTTGGAATCTTCAGCAATAAACAGCAAGAGTTTTAAATTGAAAATTTAGATTGTCTAATAATTTTCAGATATAAGCAGTGATTAGTGAGAAACTGTGAATTATTAAGTAAATATTCCATATTTAAAAAATACTCAAGAAAACCAAACATTATTTGAGCATTCGCAATTTTGAGAGTGATTTTCCGAATCGACCCATTCAACATTTGAGTGTGGACAAGTGCGCAAATCATGCATGTGTTGACATACGTCATACCTGAAGTTTGAAGAAAATGAAAAAAATGCTTTCAATATAACAAAAAAAAAAATGTTTTCATCTGTTACTTTGAGCAATTATAACAATTGCTTCAAAAAAAATTTTTAAATCAATATGTATTGTTATCACATCCGTTGAGACATATACGTAGCAGAGCTTTTTGTAATAATGTTTTCTACATATAATTGATTAAAATATAGATAATTAGATGAAAATATACCAAATATAGTTAATTAAAAAGGGATCAAAATGGAAAATAAAAAATGACAGGATTGTTTAATTCTTTTTTTTTCTTATTAACATGTATTTCAGTAAATTGCTCGTTGATGATTGCATGAACAGTGTCAGTGGATGATAAAAATATTGTCTTATATGTCATATTTACTCAGATATTGTTCTGATACTATCGTAAAACATTAGAAAAACAATTCCGAAAGACTTTGAATGTTATTCAAGAATCCGAAAGTAGAAAATATTTCAGATTAATTATGAATAAATAATAAGAATTATAAATTGTTTTCTCAGTTTTAATTAATATGAAGATAGCAAAGAAGCAAAAATAAACAAAACAAAAATAAATAAAAGATATCTTGGAGTAATCGACAATGAGGTAATCATGCAATTACTAAAAGTATGAAAAAATATTCGAATGTAACCGATGTAAATAAAGGATAAAATTGTAAATTTTCATATATAACATAGAGTTAATTTTATACGGCAATCTAGAATAGTTCTTTTAAGTCAAGAAAAAAAAAATCTAGCTCATATTATAAATTTTAGACGAAATTAAAGCCACAATAGCAGCGACAGTAATTTTCTATGCATTGCTAATTTATTTTCAACAAATTATCTTTCAAGACTTTCCAAATTTTTTTCTGCATTTGAAAATTTATTTCTTTCACTTGAAAGGATGAACTGCTGTGACAAAAAAAAATATGAAAAAAACGTAAGAATGAAACGTGAAAAATGTATAAACTAACATTTCTGGTATCAGAAGTTTTTCATCAATTGCTGTAGCTAATAGCAAAAAACCTTCCAACATTTGTGTGAAACATAATAACTGGAGTAAAAGCTTTTTTTAATTTTGTAAAGTTTATATGAAAATTTATGAAACATTATTTGAAGTGTAATAATTTAAATACATTCGATTGCCATAAAATTTTTGAATGGATTATTATTTTGATGTCCAAAAAAACTGTACGTTTTTCCTTTAATTTTTTGGTTATGTTACTTCTTCATCCTTACACATCCAAAAGCTATCCAATTAAAGGGAAATTTTTTAATTATACAAAATAAATTGATTAAATCAAGACAATCTTTTCAACATCTTGAAATTTTTCGCATTTAGAAAATTAATGGATAAATTGAATGAATTAATTTAAAATATGACTAAATAATATTTACTTGTATTGGATCAATTTTAGCTGCAATTTCACCTACGATTATTTCCCATGCACATGCATATTCAATAGCACCTGCATCCCATGGAATATGCAGTTCAGATGAAAACGAATTCATACGTACAGCAATCCGATCAATTGATAGAAGACCATCGTAAAAATTCTTGAATGATTCTGATTTTTGAAAGAATATTTGCAATCCAGCAATAAACATCTGAAAATTTTCAATTTTCTTGTCTTTTATTCAAATAAAAGAATCATTGAAAATGATTTTTTCTTTTTGCTTTGAAAGAATGGAGATGAAGTGAAATAAATCATTGGAATATTTTGTACAGTTTGATAAAAAAGTATCACAACATATACATTACATATAGTTTTCAGACAGCAGAAAAATTCAAACCTCATTTTTTTTTTTCTACAAATCTTTGAATGGGAAAAATTTTTCTATGAACATTTCTACAAGATGATACAGACGGTAACGAATCTCTGAGAATTCAACAAATAAAATTACCAACCTGAAATCGTAAATCACGAATTTCTCGTACAATTTCTATGACTAAGGTGTCAGTTTTCATTATTGGACAACTATCTACAATAAAGCAATATATTAAATAGTGAAATTAAAGAAGTCAGAGAATTATTAAATTTGTAAATTCGAAAATGTATAACAACGAATCACCGGGGCTTTCACCAGTTGTTTTCATGGCATGAGTGAGACAGTGTCCTTGAGCATTCGGAAGCTGAACGCTTAATTTTATATCCAATGGTCGATATTTTTCAATTTCATGTTTTATGTTACCATAAAGTCTTCTAGAAAGTGAGGCATAGATGTGATAGGAATCCAAATCGGATTGTTGCTGCAATTTTATGAAAATTTGTAGTAAAATCATACCCTGTCAAAACATTCCCCAAGCAATATGTATTAAGTAAAATAACGCTATATAAGAATATTAAAATAAATAAGAATAAAAATTTTAAATTTGATAAAATCTAACTATTTCCAGCATTTGAAATAAATTATTGCTATGCTTAGCAGATTTATTTCTTGTTTCAAAATTAGGAAATTCTTTAGCAAATTTGAATTTAAAAGAAAGAGAAACATATCATTGAACTTCTGCCTTTTTTCAAACTAATCGATTATGTTGGTTGCATTTGAAAAATTTCAAACACAAAAATCAAGCTCATCTCAAAAAATTCTCATCATACCCAACCTGACTGTATGGACCAAAGTAATCGTTGATATAATTTTTGATGATCCAAAAGGCAAAACCGGAAAGGAACAATTCTGGTGACTGAATTACAATCTTAAATGATCATTAATGCATGCTTATTTTAAAATCATACAATTATTTTAAAATATTTCATAAAATAAAAGAATGAACTATCAAGAAAGAGTATTTGTTTGGATTATAAATTAGATCTGAAGTGACTTACTTCTATTTGTACAGAATCAGGTTCCAATTCAAATGGATGTGATGGATATTGGATTGTAATAGTTTTAGCTCGTGTTGGTAAATCGCTTTGATGCGGACGATATACCGGATGCCATTTATAATCATATGTAAATGTAATGTGCTGAGTACGCAAAAAATCTAACCAACCCTAAAATGAACATTTTGAAAAATCATAAATTTTTTAAAACTTTCTTATTAAATTCTAAAAGTAACTTCATGAAGAAAAAGTTAAAAAAAAACACGGTTGATTCATTGAGAAAAAGAAAGGAAAGCAAAAAAGCATGCAAATGCTGACTTGAATTTCATTTTTCAAAATGGTCCTAATCAATCCTTGAACTTTTCCAAATTTTCAATTTACAATATTACTGACGGAATTTCATTCAGATCATTTCGGAAGATGTTATGATTTATGGGATTTCATTCGAATCATTTATGCAAGAATAACATTAGGAGAATTAGACTAGGTTATAAGATAGCATACATTTTGATAAAATATTTTAAAAAAGTGACAAAAAGTTACTCCATCGATATCCATAGCTGTTGGCACATGAATACTTGCATGCTTCACGGAACGAAATAAATTGTCATAAACAGCATGTATTACTGGTGATAATGTACTTCTTTGAGGCATATGAAATTTTATAGCAGCCGCTTCACTGGCAATCATTTCGGATTTACAGTAGCAAATTTGAGGACAGAAATCAGTCTTATTCAAATTGCAACTGATTGTAAATCGTTTAGCAACAAGAGCAATCAGAAAGTTATTTGATGGATTGCTAAATCATTCACAAAAAATAAAATTTTAAATTCGAAGATCTTAAAGTAATTCTAAATTATCCATTCGAAAATGATTCTTAAAAAGACTATAATTTTAAATATTTGAAAAATAGTTTGAACTGTGGAAGCACTAAATTTAGGAATTTTGTACTGCAATATATTTGCTGAGCAAATGCTAAAGTATCTTCTGCAGGCATAATTCAATGTGGTTCAGAAAAAGAGAGATGAAAAAATAGAGAGGAAAGAAATAACTTTGACTTTTATATCATTTCGAATAAAATTTCACCCTTCAAACAGCTATTTAATATTCAATTCAAAATTTCCTTGGTAAGGATGATTCTTTAAAACGTGACGTAACGAATTTCTTTTTCTTACTTTCGAAACAGAAATAATCAGTAGTACTTTTGCTGTTGTTACTAATACAGGTAACTGATAACATACCTTGCATCCACCCAATTTTTATCATTCGTAACAAAAATGAATTTTGCATTAGTGAATTCTATCCGGCAATTCCAAATTTGTGGGACAAATCGTGCCAAATCTTCCGTATAATATGCCGAAACTTCACTAATAAGGTCCTCCAATATTCATTATTATAATGATACATATAAAATTCATCCGTTTTTCAAGTATTGAATGAATTCAGATTTCTGAGTTAAAAAAAATACCTGCATGAAAGCAACGTGATCCCACAGACACCATGTTGTAGCTCGATTTATTTTCATCAAAATTTCGCATTTTTGAAGTTGTCCATATCGCTTTGGAATGCACATATTACACTCCATGGTCAATTCCTCATATGAAATTAATTTCCGAAATCCAGAAGTTGGCAGAAATTGTACATCTTTCATGCTGAATCGTATTGCTATTCTGTATCCTTCTTCAGCGATCACCAATGGATTTTCCACCTTTAATTTGCAAATATTTGAAAAAAAAAAAAAAAATGAAACGATTGGTTTCAATTATCAGAATTTCTTGACAGTGTATCATTACGAAAAAACTCAGTTCAAAATTTTAGTTAGTTGAGAACTTCAGCGGATTTCAGTGCTGCATATTATTGTATGCCTAATTCTAATTACATGCAGTTCTGGAAAAGTAAAGAACTACTCCTGAAAATTATCCATGATGTTAGCTGCTACATTGTCCTCTTCAACCATTCCATAGATCTGGTTAACTTAGATCAGTTAGTTAATATATACTTTTGGCTCATTTAAGATTTGCGAAAAAATGTCCTCCTCTAATAGGAAAATTGTACAAACATTCACGAATGCAATACTAATCTCAACATACTTTTATCGAAAAACCATTTTTGATGATTACAGCCACAGTATTCAGTTCGTCGTGTCGCATGAACCATAAGTTTATTGTTATTCTACCATTCATTGTTAACGTAATATCCATTATCAGTGGTATTTTACGCTCACCAGTTTTTGGTAATTCACTAAAAATGATTTACAGCAAAAAATATTCAGCTTTGACGGCAAAATTTTAATAAAATAAATAAATAAATAAAAAATCTAACAGGTAAAAAAAATAAAATAGATAAAAGACGAAATAGCACGAAGCGTGAATTACGTATATTTGACGCGTGAGAATATTGTCTTACATAAATCTTATCTTTGTAGATATTAACTACGGCCAAATTATTAATTAATTTCATTAAAATGCTTTCTCCAAACAGGTTTAGGATTAAAATTGAAGAATTTATTGCGTCCAAACATACGTCGGTGTAGCGTCAGCGAAATCTGTCGGGAAAAAAAAGTTAGTGAAAGCAACGCGACATGCTTCAGCCCATGGACCGTATGCAATAGCAACATTTTCGCCAAAATCGATATTTAGATCACAAATTGGTTCCGATGATAGATCAGCTGAATTAGTTTTTCAAGATTAATTTCTATCTTTATCAAATTGTATTCAGTAAATTTGAATTTTTTTTTATTTCAGTTTAAACATGCTGCTAAATAAACATCATATTACTTATACTGAATATTTTTCTAGAAATGATAGAAGAAATCAAGCTATGTTGTTTCAACTTTAAAAGCTTGAAATCATAGTATTTCATTTTATTTTTACTTCATCAATAATTTGAAGTCCGGATCAATTTAAATTTGGACACTGTATAAAAGGCGAAGAAAATTTTCTAAATTTTTGATTGCAATTGACAAACATTGTTTTAATTTTCATATTTTATGCTTGCATTATTGTTTGTAGGAATTGATTAGCATTGCTCTCAGTCAAATTCCTCACAAAACAATTTTTTACAAAATTTATTGAACTATGAATAAAAAAAGTTTTCATGTTTTTTAAAAATTTAAACCAAATTAGAAGATGTCACTGATATCAACTGTCAATTTAAAAAATGATGGCATTGCAGGTCAGATGTAAACTACCCATGATAAAGTTCAAAGCATACATGGTCCTAATACATTCAAAAGCATTCGAATCAATTTAGACTTGTTAATTAGTTTGCAAGAAATTTGAAAAATTTAACTTTGGAAATGAAATTTGCTAATACCAAAGATATTTTCGCGATAAATAGCCTTCACTTTAGCATTTTGAAGAACTTTAAAACCGCTTCCCATTGTCCGGGGTGCGTTATACCGTTTCCACAGATTCCATGGATCAGTTTCATCGTATTCTTCGTTATTATTTAAAGATATTGAGAAGTTAGAACCATTAACGGAGCACACCAATAGCTTAGCGTTGTTTATTTGTTCCAATCGTCCAATAACTATAAGCTCCTTTTCTATTCTTAATTTTTTTTTCTGGAGAGGAACTCTTTTTTGTGTGAAATAATTTAAAATGAAGTAATAATCTGAGACAGAGATGCGTAGAAATAGATTTTTTTTTTTTTAAATTTAAAGGAAGTTATTAGTTAATCGTACGTTTGGGAAAACACATTAATTTTCGTGAATAAAATGTAAAGGGTGTAGCAATAGCACAAGCATAAAAGTTAACTTTAATTTAATAAAAAAGTTAGTTTAATAAAATTTTTGTTTCTCTAACTGATTAAAAGCTGGCAAAACTTTTTATTTCACTTGGTGCGTAAAAATATCCATATAACGAACGGTTGGATTATTTGATGGAATCAAATCAAATTCTAAAAGTTAGGATGCTCGTTTCCAATCAATTGTTTCGTATTTTTTCATAGCAATCATATGGTAGAGAAATTTAATACTCGAAAGAAATGATTATGCAACATATTACGGTATGTGCTCAAAAATATATGTTAGGCTTCCACTTCTTGCTACTACGTATAATCCAGTTATTATCACGTAGATTTTAATGACCGTTAAATCTTACGCATATCGCCAAAGACAGCAATTCTATTTAGCTTAGCAAATATTTAACATAGCCTATTATCGGTTTAGCTTACATAATATTTTGTGTGAAAAAATGACAAGCGTAGTGGGTAGCAAACGATTTCCAACGTACACGCTGGCATTTTTGATAGATATACGTATTGTACCGACAAACGCCCAAAAATCTTTTAGAAATTTATTATTCTTGCCTGAAACAACAATAATTTATCATTCTTTAGTATAGCTTCTTGAATGTATTGAATTATCATCAACTTATTTCTCTTTAACTTATCAATATATCATCTTTCATCATTCCCTAACTCTGTTAGCATGTGTTGTACGGAAGGATTGTCGTTTGATAAAGTTTTCGATATTGATTTTCATTGACTACAGTTGAATAAAGAATTAGAAGCATATTGAAGTAAATTTAATTAACAATAAATTTAATTAACTTCATTCACACAATTTGGCAATTTATAAACAGAATCATTTGATTGAACTTTCTTTCAACCCTTTCAACTGTTAAATCTCAAAAAAAAAGAGCTGACTTTTCATCCCTTAAATTGCTCCAGTTCCAAAAGCTAAGAAATGACCTAATATAAAAAGAAATACCGCACGAAATGGTTTATTTGCATAGAAGGTGGAAACAATATAAATACCTGAGTCTACTTTGAGTCTACCTTTTTTTTTCTCAGATTAAAATATAACTGATTAAATCAAGCAGCTAAATTCTAGTTAATAATTGTAAATTGTGTACCATGAGAAGTAGTGATACATAGTAAGCTAAGAATAGCTTTTTTTGGGCATGCCAAAAATGATAGCCTAGTTTTGCTAAGTTATAAAGACTTCTCAAAATGATTATAAAAATGAATTTTTTTTTTAAAAAACAGCACTCATAACATGTTCGTTTGCATGCAAAGTTTCATTGGTATGTTGCTGTTGCTGTGAAACTGTTGCAAAAAGTTTCTCAAATTTAGGGTCTTTCTTTAATTTCCGATATGCTTTGAAACGATTGTATATGTGTATACGTAATCCATTCAACGTCAGGCGTAAACGACCTTTTAAGCTGAAATTCCGAAATGTGGGAAGCATTTCGAATGTTTTATTTTTTTTATGATAAAAAGGCATCTTAATTATTTATTGTATTTAATTACTCGCCAAAGCATAATAATATATATA